CAAAGTTTTGATAGGGAAGAAACTGGTGCCTCAGAGTGAGTGATAGATACTGCTAATGGCAGGGTATTTGAGTAGTGCCACTCAAAATGTGACCATTGGACCAGCAGCATCAATATCACCTGAGAGCTTGTTACAAATGCCAATTCTCACTTAACCCAAACATATCATACGTGTCAGAAGCTCCAGAGATGACATCCAGGAACTTGTGATTGAACAAGCCCTCCATGTGATTCTTATAAATGTTAAGTTTGGGAAGCACTGACCATGAGGACACAATTTACCAACAGGTTGTGAAACCGCAGGATTGTGACTAAATGGGCAGTCTGGGGCTCGCTAAACCAAAGCTAAGGGGCCTCATGGGTTTGCAATGAACAAGAAGAGCACATACTGGAGGACTGGGCAGCAGCAACAGTATCAAAGGACTGGGACACCTAGAGGACTGAGCATCATTAGGTAAAAGCTAATGATATTAATAACTATATTAACTCATTAATATTACTATTAATAAAGAAAATTTTCTGAGGCTCAGACTTGATTAGCCATTCCTAAAAGAGAAGTAGGAGAATTTGTTTAAAATGAGATTTGAATGACACCAAAAGTTCCTGTTTATATAAACATCTCTGTCTCATTGTCCTGCCACTGTTGCTAAAGATTCTACTTTGAGTTATGGGGAGTCACCTCAAAATGTGCCTCTGTGGTATGTAGATTGTTTTGAGCTAAAGATAACTTTTGCCTCAGTCTGAAGAGAAACTTCTGCCTCTCCTTTAACTGCCTAGAAAAATTTAAATTAGAGGCCTTGCCCATAATAAGTGATTATTAGAAGTAACCTCTTTTGACCTATCTGTAGGGCAGGACAAACTTCTATTCCTGAACACCTGCTCTTCTTATCATCTTCCAATGACCATTTGAAGCCCCCAAGGTACCTCCCTCATCCCTAGCTCAGGAAAGTCTTATATACCTCAATCCCCCTTTCTATCTCAGAAACTCTCATGCATGTGGGGGTCTCTGACTCTCTCACATATGTGCGTTTCCCATACATATGTATGTATTAAATTTATTTTCTTTTGCTGATCTACTCATATCTATTTAATTATTAGACTAGCCAAAAGAACCTTGAGGGTAGAGAAAAATTTGTCCCCCCCCACATCTGTAGCATGATATATACATTTGTGAAAAACTTCATGCCCTGCAAAATTGTGCACTACAAATAATAGGGGTCATGGGAAAAACAGAGTGCAGGCACACCACTTAAAATTTATGCTACTTTGCCCTAGGTGGTTTGGCTCAGTGGATAGAGCGTTGGTCTGAGGACTGAAGGGTCCCAGGTTCAATTCTGGTCAAGGGAACATGTCCAAGGTTGTGGGCTCAATTCTCAGTAGGGGGTGTATAGGAGGCAGTCTATCAGTGATTCTCTCTTATCATTGACGTTTGTATCTCTTTTCTCCTCTCGCTTCCTCTTTGAAATCAATAAAAATATGTGTGTTTTCTTTTTTTTTTAAAAAAGATATCCTATATTGCCCTGGTCAGTGTGCTCAAAGGTTGGAGCATCCACCCATGCACCAAAGGGTCACAGATTCAATTCCCGGTATCCGGATTGCAGGATCAATCCCTGTCCCCTAGCAGGACACAGGTGGGAGACGACCAATCGATGTGTCTCTCTCACATTGATGTTTCTCTCTCTCACCCTCCTTCTCTTCTACTCTTTAAAAAACATGGAAAAAAATATTCTCAGGTGAGAAATAACAGAAAGATTTTATGTATTTGAAGACTTAATATTGTTAAAATGGCAATACTCCCCAGTTGACCTACAGATTCAATGAAATCTCTGTCAAAATTCCAATGGCTGTTTTTGCAGAAATTAACATGTTAAAATTTCTAAAATTCACATGGAAATTCAAGGACCCAGAATATCCAAAACAATCTTGAAAAAAGAACAAATTCCTAATTTCAAAACTTAATATAAAAGCTACATTAATCAAATGTGGTACTGACAATGAGGATAAATATAGAAATCAATGGCTTAGAATTGAGTCTAGAAATAAACCCTCAAATTTATGGTAAATTAATTTTTGACAAGGGTTCCAAGACAGTTCAACGGAAGAAAGAATAGTCTTTTGAATTCATGATAATGGAACTGGATATTCACATGTGAAAGAATAAAATTGAACCCTAATATCATACCATATACAAAAAATTAACTGCCAATGGATCACAGAATGGAAAAAAATTTTGCAACTCAAATATGTAAAAAGGTAAGAGGCCTAACTTGAAACCCAGGCAGATAGGGCAGGGCTCCAGCTGAAAACAAAGGCAGGTAGAACATAGGCAGGGGTAGACATGGCAGTTTGAGCCAGCCTAACCACAGGAACCAACCAAGCAGAAATAATAAAATCTTTCTGGACTCAAAGCAGGAGACATGGGAAAACAAGGGAGAGCCTATAGCAACAAGATAGACGAACGCATAGAAACAGAAAAAGTTCAGCACAGGAACAGAGAAAGAGCATATAGGAACAGGGAAAGTTCAGGTCTGTTGCTGGGCAAAAACAATTGAGGGAATTAATCAGGTGACGACACAGATAGACATAGAAGCAGACTTGTAGCAAATATATACAAGGCTTTAACGGGCAGCCCACTATTGGGTCTTCCTCCCCTTGCAGGGAGTCTGATCTGCTTATAATAAATATTCCACACTTTTACTTACATCTCCTGGTCCACATAGCTCATTCTTCCGTGTCACAAAACACAACACCGGGAAAACACCTCAGCCGTTGGTTTTGGTCATCAAAGGGTCTAGTGTTCAGAATATATAAAGAATTCTTAAGCTCAAGAATAAAAAGACAAATAACTCAAAATGGGCAAAGGATTTGGACATTTCTTTTAAGAATATATGCAAATGGACAATAACACATGAAAAGATGTCAACATCACTAGTCATTAGGTAAATGCCAATCAAAACCACAATGAGATACCACTTCACACCCACTAGGATGGCTATAATAAAAATAAAACCGACAATAACAAGTGTTGACAAGGATATGAACAAACCTCATGCACTGCTGGTAGAAATGTAAAATGGTGCAGCTGCTACTGAAAACAGTTTTGTAGTAAAACACAAATTTAAAAAGATATATATGCATTACTATGTTCATTGCAGCATTGTTGACAATAGCCAAGATATAGAAGCAATGTAAATATGCACTGATAAATGATTAAAGAAGATGTGATACATATATATAATGGGACTATTACTTGGCCATAAAAAAGAATGAAATATTACCATCTGCAACAACATGGGTGGACCTAAGGTAGTGGTTCTCAACTTTCTGGCCCTTTAAATACAGTTCCTCATGTTGTGACCCAACCATAAAATTATTTTCGTTGCTACTTCATAACTGTAATGTTGCTACTGTTATGAATCGTAATGTAAATATCTGATATGCAGGATGGTCTTAGGTGACCCCTGTGTAAGGGTCGTTCGACTGCCAAAGGGGTTGCGACCCACAGGTTGAGAACCGCTGACCTAAGGGGTATTATGCTAAGTGAAATATGTCTGATAGAGAAAGACAAATACCACATTATTTCACTTATATGTGGAATCTTAAAAACAAAATAAACAAACAAAACAGAAACAGACTCATAGATACAGAGAACGAACTGATTGTTGCCAGAAGGGAGAGGGTGGGAGGGCTGGATAAAAAGGTGAAATGATTAAGTAGTACAAATTGGCAGTTACAAAATAGTCATAGGGATGTAAATTATAACATAAAAATATATTAAATAACATTGTAATAACTATGTATGGTGTCAGGGAGGTACTAGATTTATTAGAGGTATCACTTCATAAGTTATGTAAATGTTTATCCACTATGCTGTATACCTGAAACTAATATGATATGGACTGTCAAGTGTAACTGAAAAATTTTTTTAAATTATAAAAACAAAAGCAAAGAAAAAGAGAAAGACTCATTGACAAACAACAGTATGGTGAATGGCAGAGGAAATGGGGAGTGGGGAAAGGTAGAAGAGTGTAAAAGGGGGATAAATGGCAATGGAAGGAGACTTGACTTAGGGTGGCAAACACACAATACAATATATCATACAGATGATGTATTACAGAATTGTATACCTGAAACTTATATAACTTTATTAACCAATGTCACGCGGATAAATTTAATTTTTAAAAAACAGTGGTTAAAAATAAAAAGGTTAAAAATAAAATTGTCACATGACCAGCTTTTATATTTGTAGATATATGCCCAAGAGAAATAAAAACATAAAAACATTATACAGAAAAGTTCATAGAACTATTCGTCATAGCCAAAAAGTAGACATAACCCAAATCTCTATTAATTGATGGATGGAAAATGTTCTCTAATTAGATAGTGGTGGTGATTGTACACTTGTAATTACTAAAACTCATAGAATTATACACTTTAAAATGATAATTTTTATGGCACATAAATTATCATAATTTTTTTAAAGGGAGTATCCAAAAGCCTCAGCCAGTTCTAGCTTCCACCCATACCAACCTAAGGATGTCAACTTCTAGAGACCAGGCCCTCAAAAATATGAGTGCCTTAAAAAGCACCTATTTTCTGTCTTACCAGCTGCTGCCAGTTCAGACCCAAAGAATATTAGAGATCTATTGGTTCTAACCCCAAAATAACTTTATACCAGTGTTCCATTCAGAACCTCAAGACCAGTTGATTCTATTCATGTCTTTTATCTCAGTCATCCTCAATCACTGGGAATGTAAACTTGCAATTTCTAGTTAGATCAAGAGAGCTGACTGAGCACCATGTCTTCTACATTCTGGAATTTTTATCAATTAAACTGACTTTATTTATGTGTCATAAATCTGTTTTAACAATGCAGAGGTGTGATATCTTACATGTTTGGAGAAAGAGTGACTAGCCTATGGTTTTCCAATTCAGTAGCTGAATCAAGGGGCCAGCATCTTTCCATCCTTCTGTATTCTTCAGATTTCATCCCTAGTGATCATGCTCAGACTTTAAAACATCTAAAAGAAGAAAAAGGGCTTCATTTTATTTTGTCTTTAAAAAAAATTTAGTAAACCTTTTCCAGAAGTTCTCAATGGTTTTTCTTTATGTCTCATTGACCAAAATTGCAACACATCTATGTCTATACAAACCACTGAGAAGAGGGATTGGAATTGTTGTATATTAGCTTAGACCAATCAGGATGTACCCGCCTTTTTTGGAAGTAATTCTAGTTTTCTTTCTTTTATTTTTATTTTATTACTAGTGGCCCGGTGTACGAAATTCGTGCATGGGGGGGGTGCCCCTCAGCCTGGCCTGCACCCTTCTCCAATCTGGGATCCCTCTCACAATCTGGGACTGCTGGCTCCTAACCACTCACCTGCCTGCCTGCCTGACCGCTCCTAACCACTTTGCCTGCCGGCCTGATCAACCTCAACTGCCACCCCCTTCTGGCCTGAGTACCCCTAACTGCCTGCCCCTGCCAGGCTGATTGCCCCCAACTGCCCCCCATTGGCCTGACTGCCCCCAACTGTCCCCCCCCCCTGCTGGCCTGCTCACCCAACTGCACCCCCTGCCGGCCTGCTTGTCCCCAACTGCCCTCCCCTGCTCGCCCCCAACTGCCTTCCCCTACTGGCCTGATTGCCCCTAACTGCCTCTGCCTCAGCCCCGCCACCATGGCTTTGTCTGGAAGGATGTCCAGAAGATCTCCGGAAGGTCTCCTGGTCTAATTAGCATATTACACTTTTATTAGTATAGATAGAGGCCTGGTGCATGGGTGGAGGCTGGCTGGTCTGTTCTGAAGGGGGTCCCAGATCAGGGTTGGGGTCCCCTTGGGGGGTGGGGCGGGCCTGGGTGAGGGGCTGGGGCAGTTTGCAGGCTGACCACACCCCCATTGGGGTGAGGATCCCCGCTGAGGGGTGGGGCCAGCCTGGGTGAAGGGCTGAGGGCCTTTTGCAGGCTGGCCATGCCCCCATCGGGGTGACGGTCCCAACAGGGGGGCGTGGCTGGCCTGGGCTAGGGGCTGAGGGCTGTTTGCAGCTGGCCACACCCCCATTGGGGTGAACGTCCCTGCTGGGGGGCATGGCCAGCCTGGGTGAGGGGCTGAAGGCCATTTGGGGGCAGTTTGCAGACAGGCCAAGCGCCAGGCTTTGTCCGGAAGGATATCCAGAAGGTCTCCAAAAGGTCTCCAAGTCTAAAAATTTGTGCACTCGGGGGGGAGAGGGGGTCCCTCAGCCCGGCCTGTGCCCTCTCGCAGTCTGGGACCCCTCAGGAGATAATGACCTGCTGGCTTAGGCCTGCTCCTGGGTGGCAGAGGGCAGGCCCAATCCCTAGGTGCAGCCCCTGGTCGGGCTCAGAGCAGGGTCGATTGGGGAGTTGGGGCGCCACCCCGTCATGCACAGAGCAGGGCGGATCGGGAGGTTGCAATGCCACCCCTAGTCACGCTCAGGGTAGGGCTGATTGGGGGGTTGGGGCAGCGCCCCCTGTCACACTCAAGGCAGGGTTGATAGAGAAGTTGCGGCGCCACCCCCTGTCATGCACAGAGCAGGGCCCATCAGGAGGGTTGGGGCCTCCCCCCTGTCA